GGCCGAAGGCAGCCAGGCTGGCGGGACGCGGGTGCGTGTCCCCCCGGGCTGTCACTCGGTGTTGTGCCCTGGCAGAACGTTCTGGCTGGAGCACTCTTTGGGCCGTGGACCGGGCTGGCACTGTGCTCGGCCCTGACGTCTGTGGGAGCGACCTTCTGCTACCTGCTCTCCAGCGCGTTCGGAAAGCAGTTCGTCATCTACTACTTTCCTGACAAAGTGGCACTGCTGCAAAGAAAGGTAAGAACAGGCTGGGTTCTGCAGATGCCCAGTTTCCCCTGGAGGAGGCTGCCTTTTGGGTTGGCTTAGTAAAAGACACAACCTAGGAGCGGATGGCTCTTTTGGGAGCAAGACTGTTTGCAAAGGGGGTGCACAGAAAATCCCAGATCCCAAGGAAAATCAGAAGTAAGATAATGGATTGATTGGGAAGCCCCTGTGCTCCAGAACTGTCTCCACCCATCCTGTGCTACGTTGTACAGCTGGAGGTGGTTCTGCTGTTGACTTCCCACTCTCTCATTCAGGTTAGATCCCATTTTCACCGCTTGCATGGAAGGGGCTAGCTCACCACCTGTACATAAAGTTGCCCCTTTAACCGCTGGACTGGTGTTATGTTGCAGCATGGTAGAAGACAACTTACATTCACTTTAGTATCGTGGCCATTCAGATGTTACTGCTGCCTCAAGAGCAGAAATAATTTGGAACATTTCTCTTGGCAGGTGGAAGAGAACAGGAGCTGCTTATTTTTCTTCTTGTTGTTCCTGAGGTTGTTCCCCATGACACCAAACTGGTTTCTGAATCTCTCGGCTCCCATTTTAAACATCCCTGTGTCCCAGTTCTTCTTCTCCGTTCTGATCGGTAAGGCCTAGGGAGACTGTCTGAGGGGGCCGCATGCCATTGCCTCTCTCCTCATCACTGAGCCCCGGGTAGCCTGGGGAGCTGGTGGAGGCAGAGCGGCAGGGTCGTAGCTGTGACTCTGCCCCATTTAATTGTTTGCCTTCCTGCTTCCTTATGCTCAGGTCTCAGAGTGTTCTGCAAATACGTGTGCATCACCAATGCAGCAAAGTTTTGACTCACACCCTGTTTTTTCCATTATGAGCGCAGACCCCCGTGCCTGGCCTTGGGCAAGGCCATATTTGAGCTGATTATACATGGAGGGTGATGCTAACAGGCTTTTTTTTTTTTTTCTCTGATTCTTTCAGGTCTTACACCATATAACTTCATCTGTGTGCAGACAGGAGCCATTCTGTCACAAATCACCTCTTTGGATGCCATTGTCTCCTGGGACACGCTGCTCAAACTGCTTGCGATGGCTGTGGCAGCATTGATACCAGGGACCCTCATCAAGAAATACAGCAAGAAGCACTTGAAGCTGGATGAGGACAAGCACACTCAGTTACTTAATGGCAAAAAGAACTTGTGATGGCTCAGGTGCCCCTGATGTTTGGGGACCGCCTCGCAAAAGCTGCAGGTGTGTCTTCCTCTGGGTTATATTCTGCATGCTCTGTGCCACTGTGGACCAAGGACAGTCGCAGTTTTTAATTGTTCTTCTCGTCTAAGAGGAGGTGTAAGGTTCTTATTTTTAATGAATGTTTAACTGTGCATGTATCTGCACGGAGAGCACTCTACAGGGGCTTTGTGAATACTCCAGTTAATTTGCCTGTTTCCTTTAAATTAGCCTGGGTCTCCGGTGTGCTTGAGGGTGTTGCCAGCCCACTGCAAATGTATTAGCCATGGGGAAAAAAAAAATAGTAGGAGTATTAGCATCCCATGAGGAAGACAATCCAGAACCCCTTTGTCCCTCCCAGCTCTTGAACACGAGGGCAAAGCACCGCGGTCTCCCTACCAGCCCTCAGCTTCTCTTGTGCTCCTGCACGTCCCACCACGCCCAGCTTTGTAAGCCCAGCTGGTCGCAGTGGTGTGACTGAGGTGGCAGTGGACAGCTGCTGCCGGCTCCGAGCGCGAGGCAGGCTGGTTTTCTGCCCAGCCTCATCCTTTGTCACCGAGGAGCCCGCAGCACACGGGGCTGTGTTGAGCTGCAACAGCAAAAGTCCGGGCTATTTTTCACCACTGTTCTAGTAGTATTTCCCAGCTCTAGCCTGGCCCTGCTCCCTCCCCTCTCCACACCCATACTTAATTAGCATTTTTGGCCTAAAAGTGACAAAGCATGCACTTCTGTGCTGTTAGGTGCAGTAATACAAGTACCAAGTTGAGAAAAAATAATGGTGTTTCAGGGTCCTGTCACCTTCTGTAGGAGAGCTTTCACAGATGTGGAAGACTCTTCCTCCATCATTCAGATGTTAAGTAAGTGCAGCCTGCAGCAAAATTGTTCCGGTTTTGGGGCCAGCTATAAGCTGCCTGTATGTATCATTCCCATGTCAGCACACAGGAGATTGCTTCCGAGGCCTCTCAGTGCCTGCTCCTCCCCACAAAGACTGAAGGTGGGGAAAAAAAAAAATGGATGTGGCTGGCTGGCAGTAGTTTGTCCTTGAGAAGCACCTTTGAACTTAGGTATTTGCTCATGTATAACTAGAAGGTTTCCAAATAAGCAGGTAGGCTCTGTCCCAGTTGCTGGAGAACAGTAGCCCCCATGGATGATACAATGCTCCTGGGTTTTTGGTATTTGCACCACCTTGCTCTACTCTCCAGTTTCCCCTCCACTCAGCAGATAAAATAAACTTTCTGGCATGGAAGGGGGCCGACAGGAGACCCCAGGGCACCCAGGAACCTGGAAGAGTGAATGCTTCATCCATTTTAGCACCTTCCCCACCAGCAGGGTTGGAGCTGAGTGGGACAGCAAGGTTCCCCGGATGAGGAGTGGTAGTTGCAGACTCAATCCCCCGGCCCACGCTGCAAAAAATCACTCATTTGACAAGAGTAAAGGCCAATGTTCAGGGACACCCGAGGGCTCAGTAGGCTATGTGCGTCCGACCAAGCCTCTGCCCAGTTACTCAGGAGCTGCCAGTAGTTCCAGCTCAGCTGTGTTCAGAGACAGGTAACAACAAGCTGCTCACTAACATGGTGTTAGTTATTAAAAGGCTTCATGACATCCCAAAGTACATGCGAAACCACTCCCAGATCACCAGACCAGCCTGAGAAGTATTGAAGTACACTGGCTTTTTATTCCATGCATTGTTTGCTTTGATAGTCATTCTTGTTTCCATCACTGTACACTGTTCAATACAAAAAAAATCAAGTTTGTATCAGGAATCCGCAGAGCAGGGAGGAGAGAGATGAACACTACTGGACAGGGCCAAGATGAAATGGTTACTTAACACGACAGTGGGGAAGGCAACATTCAGCTCTGGGAGAAAATCTAGGCTAGTGTTCAGGGGCTGTCAGCAGCCATGAGAACTGGATCAGGGTAGTCAGGATGCTGAAAAGGGAACCCACAGTTTACTTCTGTCCCGCAAATGTGTTACTGCGAGGAGGAAGCAGGCCGATTTACGCCTCTCAGCCCCATACCCTGGCTAGGAGAGAAAGTGCGAGGAGCCGCAGCAGAGGTGCCCATACAGCCATGTGGAGATCACGTCTATGTGCAATTCTGGGTAGGTTTCATTAAGGAAAGTGTCTATATGACCCCCTGCAGAACAGACAGCAACCGTCCCAGGAACGCAGGAGGTGCTGAACCACCCCTGCCCGCACACGGCCGAGGGCACGAGATGCGTGTGTAGCGGGACGCTGGGATTACATCTCCACGGGTACAGGGTTACGCATTTAGGCGAGGGGGAGCAGCCCCATGGCAGTCCCAGAGGGACGCTGCATAGCAGGCAGCAGTTAGAAGGAGTGATGCTGCACCATAAGAGTGCAATGACCCAGGCGTGTAAAGAAACTAGAGCTAAGAGTGGCAGCAGACAACCTGAAGGGTTTAGTTCTGCTTTTCCAGGCTGCAGAATGGGCCAGCATGTCCCCCAGCAAGGACAGGGAGGGATGAGCACACACCCGAGGCGGCTGGCCCAGAAGGGTCCCAAATGCCCACGCATCAAAGCTTCTATGCATCTCTGCAGTCCCAGAGGAGCTTCAGCACAAGGTGGAGGAGCTCTAAGCAGAGACCACAGGTACCCAAACCCCTCTGGCATCTTTTTGTTACGGACTGAATCGTCACAGACTGAAGTCCCTGCACGGAGACTCTGACAGGCCTGAGCCAGAGCCAGCTCTGCTTTGGGGCTGCCCGAAGGACACCAGTGCTGCCCACGGGCGGTGGGCACCGCAGGGCCCTGGGTCAGGTTGACATCACGCTGCCCACGGGCAGTGAACAGCCTCACGTCTGCCAGGAAGCCTGCCAGACCTGAGCAGCGGGGTCTCTCCAGGGGCGTAAGGCCTGGCATCCTCTGCTGCGGGGGACATTCGATGGCAGTCCTCGACCTCCCTTTACACAATAGTTTGATATTCCTCTTCGTGTGTGTGTGTTCTGTTCTCCCCTGCACACAGTTCTCCCCTGCTAAATGCCTGCAGCCCGGCCTCCAGGCTCCCGAGTAACCATCTACACCGCCTCTTCCACACCAAAACCCTCCCACACCACGACAGCAAAGCCACCTCTGGCCCTGTCACCTCCTCCTGCCGCTGGCTGAGAGACAGAGAACATTTGGGAGGAGGAATGAGGGACGGGGAGAGGAAACAAGAAACAAGCCAGAAAAGAGCTTTACTCCCTCCGCATTCCACCTCCACCCAGAGCTGAGTATTGCTGTTGCAGGCAGGGGTGAGCTGGTCGCTCCCTCTCCTCTCCAGCAGCCTGTTTTGGTCCTGCACTGGCAATCCACCACGTGGATCCACTGCTGGCCACCCCTGATCTCGTACCCGCTGCCCAGAGCAATTGCCCTCCTCTCTGCTTCTCTATTTGGATGCTCTTGCCAGGGGATCTTGTGAAGGTTATTCACTCCATGATCAATTCAAAAGCCACTCGCTCCCTGATCACCCTTCCCCACCGGCTCAGGGGCTGCCAACTCCATCGGCAACTCGAGCAAACTGCAGCATCGACCACGAGGACTATCACAGGGCTCACAGGGCTGACTGTGACAGGTTGTCTGCCCCGGTGTAACAGCATCCTTGGAAATCAGGAGAGAGGCAGCAACTACTGACAGGCGCCGAGACCAGCTCTGCTCCCACCCCCTCAAGCGACCAGGGAGAAGGTAACATCACACAAACAGATTACAATTGTGCTAGCGGTGAAGCCAACCTTCTGATCTACAGAAATGATAATAAATAATAAAATAACATCATAACTTAAGATCTGTGTGTAGTCCAGCTACAAAATTTTTAAAATATGGGATAATTTAACTCATACAATACTGCTCTCTGTATAAGACATTTTCCTTCATTTTGCCATGAGGCTATAAATTACCACAGTTAAATTCAAACCAATATTTTAACACAAAATGTAAACAAACAAAGCAACAGAAGTACCTGTCCATGGTCCATTCCTGCCGTTCATCTCAGGCTGGTGTGCCAGTCTGCAGAGCAGCACCCAGCAGCGCGGCCGTGTGCCACACGCGTGGCACAGCCGCGCCAGCCAGCACGCTAGGAAGGGAAGAGCGAAAAGCTCTTGCAGGGGGACATCAACTTAGGTGGGGGGGAAACGTGCTCTATCGTTTTGTTCTCTTTAAATATCAGTTTAGAAGAGTAGTGTTTGAAGGGAAGGCACTATGAGTTCTATCAGAAAACAAATTACTCTCATCTGCCAATGCCTCGGCCTGTCACATACCAGTACTATCCTCACTTTCACCTGCAGAGTTTCAGCTTGAAGGAGAAACAGAGGCCTCAGGGTACACCCGAGACACAGCTGTGCCACAGCCGCCACCACAATTCCCTGTGCGACCTGTTTTGCACAAAGCCTGACATGAAGGGCAGGCAGCTGTTAACACTTGCAAAAACGTACAGTGAATAAGGAGATGGAGCAGGGCTGATGCTCTTATCTAGGCCAGCGATTCCCAGTCTTCCCCCTCACCACACAGCTCTCTGCTGGTTACCGATGCTGTTGTAGGTGAGAGACTGCTTCTCCACGTCCAGTACAGGCATCTCCAGTTTCCTCCCCAGAATAGTGCTCAGGCTCTGCAGAATGTGCTTTCCATGGTTTGCAAGTTCTCACTTTTCCAACACTGATTTGATTGATTTCTTTGACTGACTGAAACATACAGGAGGTAAGAGGAGGAAGTAAACTGGGAAATGGCACACTGCATCTGAAAGAGTTTTCCCTGCTCAACTGGAGATCAACACTGCCAGAGTGAAGCAAGGACGATGTTAAGAAGTGCTCTTATACCAACTCTCGAGAGGACGAGGTTAGAATACATTTGCAGGATCTCACAACAAAATGCTGATTAAAAAAAGAAACTAAAAATCCTTAAAATAAAACCCACTATTACATTCCTGGGGATATCTCAACTCAGAAGACCCTGGACGTTAGCACCTCGGTACCAATTTTCTCCAGGAACATGTCCACCTTCTGATTAAAAATGACCCAGCTGGTTATACTGAATAGGCTTTGTTCACAGGTTACCCTACAGTAAGGTCTTTTCGTGCTTCCTCATTTGATAAGACTGAGTGGTTTAGTTTTTTTGATCTGTTCTCCAATCTTCAGGGCCACAAGGCCTGGTCCCCTGTGAAAGCAGCAAGAGAATCCCCCC